TTCCTAGCCTCCTGTATAGCCAGCCTGTGCTTGTTCTGAGAATTAAGCCCCTTTTCATTTAACAACATAATTTTAATCACCATTGGACAGGTTAGGTGCTTGCTGTTTTGCCTGCAGGAGCGTTATATGAGTTTCAATGATCAGAAGGTTTTGTGGCCACCACGGCAAATAGGTATAAAGTGTTCTTGAGCATTAAGGGCCTAGGGTTCTGTGTTAGGTTAGATGTAATGTGGGTTGTAGGTATACTCACAAGGAAGGAGGAGGGGATAACAAGAAAAAAACTATATACAATATTCCGTGTGTCACCTTGTGGTGGCATTGGGTTGCATAAAGCAACGGACAGCTAGGACTACGTAAGAGCCTTGGGGGTAGCCTGCTCAGAGCAAAATGTCAAGATCTGTAACATAAACGATCTACAGCAATATATGCATGAGCAGGGGGAGTCCGGGTGTTGCCTCACCCGATCGCGGCTTGGGTTTTAGGTCATTTGACCGACAGTTATGGGGTGCAAGTGGGTCAAGTATATAAACATAACCATAAGACCTGTACGTCCAGACCATGTGATGATGTTCAAGATGTCGTTATATCTTAGCAGTCCATTCATGTTGGAGAGGTTCCGCGGTCACTAGGTGTACGTTGGGCTCGTGGTATTTGCCCCCAATCCTTAGGGAGAGATTTTGGTGCCGAGGTCGCTGGTTTCTTTTTAGGGCTGCTGGCCTATAGCTGTATGTTCCACTCCTGGAGGGTCCTTTTACCGTCCTCTGGTCTGAGTATGGGTTTATCTGTGCCATTCCGTTTGATTAGCAACTTTGCTGGAAAACCCCATTTATAGGGGACATTAGCTGCCCGTACCATCTTACCATCCTCTTACCATCCACAAACCAATGGCACGGTGGAGAGGACTAACCAGTCATTGGAATTATATTTGCGTTGTTTTGTTAATAGAACTCAAGATAATTGGTCTGAATTACCACCCTGGGCCGAGTTTGCTAGTATCAATGCTAACCATGACTCTTCTGGACATAGACCATTCTTTGTTAAAACGGTCATCATCTTACTGTTCTGCCGGCTGTTTTTCATGACACAGCTATCCCTGCTTTGGATGACCACTTTGCTTCTATTCGTGATACTTGGATCAAAGTTCACTCTGCTCTAGAAACTGCGGCTGATCGTTTCAAATTTTATGCTGATAAACGGCGGGGTGCCAACCCTGTTTACCAAGTGGGTGAGAGGGTGTGGTTTTCATCGCGCAACATCAAACTAAAAGTTCCTAGCATGAAGTTTGCTCCCAGATTCCTTTGTCCATTTGTAGAATTAATCCTGTTTCATATTCTTTGGCTCTCCCTGTCTCCTTGCGTATTTCTAATACCTTTCATGTTTCTTTGCTCAAACCACTTGTTTGCAATAGATATAGTGTCCCAAGTGTCCCCCCTTCTCCATTGGTTGTTTCTGGACAGGAGGAGTATGAGGTCTCCTCCATAATTGATCCCAGGTTTTCTCATGGCACTTTACAGTATTTGGTTGATTGGAGGGGTATGGGCCTGCCATGCATTCTTGGGTTCTGGCCACTAACATTGATGCTGGCCGCAAGGTTCGTTTTTTCCACGCCAAATTTCCTCTCAAACCTGGTCCTGCCCACCTGGTGAGCAGTCTTTAGGTGGGGGGTAATGTAACATATTCATCCTCACCTTGCAGTATCTGCGCTCAGCAGCCATGTGTCAGTGTATCGGACTCCTGCAACATGTTGGTGGACACAGTGCACTGCAGATCCATGCCAAATTATAGCCCCATGTCCGCCCATGATGGTGATGGCGTCAGCTTGTGTGTGACATCACGCGGGAGACGTGCGCGCACTTTCTGGGGTCAAAAGCCGATTTCAGCCAACAGATGTGTAAAAGGCTAATTTAAATGCATTTTTACTTCTCCTCTTTGCCCCGTCGTGGTTTCCCTTAGTGGTTGTCAGAGAGTGTATTCCTGAGCGTTTTTTTTTTCTGGTTATTGACTTTGGTTTCGTTTTGACTTCCCTGTATTCTGGTATCCTTGACTTTTGGCTTCCCCTCATCATTGTGTCTCATTCTGTGGCCCCGACCTCGGCAAGTATTCTGACTATTCTCTGGTACGTTAAGTCTGGCCATTCTAAGGCCCGGTAAGACGTTACCTTTTAGTCCTAAGTGTAATACAGTTCTACGTGCTGGATTAACTAGTAATCCTGACAGTACGGCCAATCAGATCTGCAAGAGAGTTATTTAAACTCACTTATTCCTTAAGCTCATTGCCCTGGTTATCCAAGAGTGTGTTCATGATTGTGTTTTTCTGTTTTTTGACTTTGGCTTCGTTTTGGCTTCCCTGACTTCTGGTACCCTTGACTATTAGCTTTACCTTATCGCTGTGTCCCGTTCTGTGTTTCTGACCTCGGCTAGTATTTTGACTATTCTTCTTAAGTCCGGCCATTCTAAGGTCCGGTTAGACGTTATCCTAAGTCCTGACATCACGACATGGTCATAGATCCTGCAGATATGTGTCAGCACATATAAGCATGTGAGAGAAAGCTAGAGGAGAATGTGACAAAAGCCACTTCGCCACTGGGCTTTGGAGAGGACTACTTGCCAGCCTTTTACCCTGTGACTATGGCCCCTTTAATTTATTGATTATGCCTAATGGGACTTTAAACATTGGTTCTACGAACTCCCGAACAGTCGAAGTGGCCGCCATTCGACATTCGAACACGTGGTGGCGGCCATCTTGTTCGTATGGGCTAAAACCGCGAATAGACTTCAGGGGGACTTAGCCGGGAATGCCCTGGAACTATTTTCGGCATGAAAACCTTGTGGTTCCCGGTTGGTCCTCCAGCGGCACTTAGCTGCGATTCTATGGAACTGTTTTGGGCATGAAATCCTGTGTTCACCTGGGCAAAAATACGACTTCCATAGAATTTCTCAACCCCTGATCTGATCCAGTGGCGGATCCAGAGCCTGATCTCGGGAGGGGCACTTGTAGATTATTTAAATAAATAATCCAGGCACAATAACCACTACAGCTCAGTGTAGTAGTTATGGTGTCAGTAGTGCCAGGATTCCACCCCAGAGTAAGTAGTCATACCGTTTAAGAACAGTTTAACAACTTACCTGGGATCTGCTGGGATATAGGCTATAGGAGCAGTGGTGTGTGTTAAGGGTAAAGTGTGTGAGTGCGGCAGTGTATGTCACGGTTGTAGTGTGTGTGTTAGGGGGCAGTGTATGTATGGGGGCACTGTATGTGTTTTTGGGGCAGTGTGTGTATGGGGGACAGTGTGTGTATGGGGACAGTGTTTGTGGGGCAGTGTGTGTGTATGGGGGGGGCAGTGTGTATGGGGGGCAGTGTGTATGGGGGGCAGTGTTTGTGGGGCAGTGTGTGTATGGGGACAGTGTTTGTGGGGCAGTGTGTGTATGGGGGGCAGTGTTTGTGGGGACAGTGTTTGTGGGGCAGTGTGTGTATGGGGGGCAGTGTGTGTATGGGGACAGTGTTTGTGGGGCAGTGTGTGTATGGGGGGCAGTGTTTGTGGGGCAGTGTGTGTTTGGGGGGCAGTGTGTGTATGGGGACAGTGTTTGTGGGGCAGTGTGTGTATGGGGGGCAGTGTTTGTGGGGCAGTGTGTGTATGGGGACAGTGTTTGTGGGGCAGTGTGTGTATAGGGACAGTGTTTGTGGGGCCAGTGTGTGTATAGGGACAGTGTTTGTGGGGCAGTGTGTGTATGGGGACAGTGTTTGTAAGGGCAGTGTGTGTATGGGGACAGTGTTTGTGGGGCAGTGTGTGTATGGGGACAGTGTTTGTGGGGCAGTGTGTGTATAGGGGACAGTGTTTGTGGGGCAGTGTGTGTATAGGGACAGTGTTTGTGGGGCAGTGTGTGTATGGGTGGCAGTGTGTGTATGAGGAGAGTGTTTGTGGGGCAGAATATTTATTTTAAAAATGTATTATAAAAAAACCTCCTCCTCCCCCCCCATTACACATACTGCCCCACAAACACTATCCCCATACACACACACTGCCCCCCTGTAATGGGGCAGTGTGTGTAATGGGGGGGGAGGAGGCTTTTTAATAATAATTAATAATTTTTTTTAAAAAAATTAATAAAATAAATATGTCCCCCCTCCCTTCTTACCTTTATTGAGCAGGAGGGGGGACATTTCTCCGTCCCTGGTGGTCCCAGTGGTGATTCCCTGGTGGTCCCAGTGGTTACAGTGAACTCTAGCCCACGCTCCCGGGCTAGAGTTCACTCTCGCGAGATTTGGAGCGTTGCCGTGGTAACCGCGGCAACGCTTTAAATCCCGCGAGAGGAGGACCCGGAGGAGCTGCAGACTGAGCTCTGGGTCCTCCCTCTCACCAGTGGCGGATCCAGAGCCTGATCTCGGGAGGGGCACTTGTAGATTATTTAAATAAATAATCCAGGCACAATAACCACTACAGCTCAGTGTAGTAGTTATGGTGTCAGTAGTGCCAGGATTCCACCCCAGAGTAAGTAGTCATACCGTTTAAGAACAGTTTAACAACTTACCTGGGATCTGCTGGGATATAGGCTATAGGAGCAGTGGTGTGTGTTAAGGGTAAAAGTGTGTGAGTGCGGCAGTGTATGTCAGGGTTGTAGTGTGTGTGTGTTAGGGGGCAGTGTATGTATGGGGGCACTGTATGTGTTTTTGGGGCAGTGTGTGTATGGGGACAGTGTTTGTGGGGCAGTGTGTGTATGGGGGGCAGTGTGTGTATGGGGACAGTGTGTGTGTGTATGGGGACAGTGTGTGTGTATGGGGGGCAGTGTGTGTATAGGACAATGGGGCAGTGTGTGTCTGGGGACAGTGTCACCAATGGGCAGATGTGTGTATGGGGGGCAGTGTGTATGGGGCACTGTGTTTGGGGGGCAGTGTGTGTATGGGGACAGTGTTTGTGGGGCAGTGTGTGTATGGGTGGCAGTGTGTGTATGGGGAGAGTGTTTGTGGGGCAGAATATTTATTTTAAAAATGTATTATAAAAAAACCTCCTCCTCCCCCCCCATTACACATACTGCCCCACAAACACTATCCCCATACACACACACTGCCCCCCTGTAATGGGGCAGTGTGTGTAATGGGGGGGGGGGGAGGAGGCTTTTTAATAATAATTAATAATTTTTTTTAAAAAAATTTAATAAAATAAATATGTCCCCCCTCCCTTCTTACCTTTATTGAGCAGGAGGGGGGACATTTCTCCGTCCCTGGTGGTCCCAGTGGTGATTCCCTGGTGGTCCCAGTGGTTACAGTGAACTCTAGCCCACGCTCCCGGGCTAGAGTTCACTCTCGCGAGATTTGGAGCGTTGCCGTGGTAACCGCGGCAACGCTTTAAATCCCGCGAGAGGAGGACCCGGAGGAGCTGCAGACTGAGCTCTGGGTCCTCCCTCTCACTCCCTCCCTCGCCGGCCGCCAGCACAGTGCCTGCGGACCGGGGAGGGAGAGCTCTGATCTCCCCTCCGGTCCGCAGGCACATTGCAGGGCTGGCACTTGGGCAATGCCAGCCCTGCGTTAGCCAGCAGGGGGGATCTCAGGGGGGGGCAATTGCCCCGTTGCCCCCCCCCTGGATCCGCCAATGATCTGATCTGGGTGATTTTTGGATATGTTGTTCACGCAGATCAAGGCTATCAGGGGATGTATGTATGGGGATATGTTATGTTTTAGGGTACTTATGGGACTTTATAAAAATGTGTGTTTTTTTCTGCCTGTGGATAATTAAGTTAATGCATTAACTACCTTAATTATATCACAGGCAGAGGGGAGGAATTGTTTTACTGTATGTGGGAGTGTCGTACTGTTAATCACTGTTTTCATTGGTTTACGTCCCTTGAGTCCCTGTCCTCCATCAGGTCCAGTGGATGTGCCTCTGGCCTGAAAAACTGTATAAAAATCCAACCTGTACCATTAAACTCTCAGGCCTTCCTACCCTCAACTCGCAGCCTCGTCTTGTGTTGTAGGGAACTGCTATATCACTACAAGGGATTGCTATGATTATCATACTCCCTTGGATAATCACTAGCTCTTGTAAGAGCTGTTCCTGCTACGCTTTCTGAAGGAAGAGCGGTTCACCCACTGGAGCCTGGAGCCTTGTCGTAGGTCCAGGGTGGGTAGGAGACGGCGAGACCCCAACCAAGCTGCGGTGGTTCGTGGGGTCTGCAGTGTTTATGGTGTCTGTTGCAGTGCTGATGGTCTTTAGTGAGCACTAGGAGCATTGATTGAGAGAGTAATAAGAGTGTTTCCTATAATTACCAGGAATTCCTTGCGGAATTTAAATTAAAATTTGAACCATTGGGAAGGGAGAGCAACGCCTCCACTGCCCTAATGCGTATCAAGCAAGGAAACTGGTCTGTTTCAGAGTATGCCATAGAATTGTGCACCCTGACTTCTGAGGTAGACTGGACCAACAATGGACTAATCACCACATTCTCAGAAGGATTATCCGAAGCCAGGCTCGAACTGGCCATCAGGCATACTGGCAAATGCCCAGTGGGCCACGATGGCCGTGGGGCCGAGGCCGGCAGGGGAGATCACAAGATTTCCCCTGCCAGCCCCAACAGGGCCAGCGCTATCCGAGCGCTGGCCCTGCTGTGTGCCTCCATGGGCCGGTGGGGAGATCTCGCGAGAGTGAACTCTATCCTGCAGGCTAGAGTTCACTTTCACCACTGGACCACCAGGGAAGGCAGCATGGCATCCACCTCCATGGAAACACGGCTTTTTTTTACATTTTTTTATCAATAAATTATTAATGTAGATTTTTAAAAAATTCACATTAACAGCACGCAGACACACACAGCACCCTCAGACACAAACAGCACCCTCAGACACACACAGCACCCTCAGACACACACAGCACCCAGACAAACACACACAGCACCCTCAGACATACACAAACACACACACACACAGAGCACGGTCAGACACACACACAGCACCCCCAGAAACACACAGCACCCAGACACACACAGCACCCTCAGACACACACACACACACACACACACAGCACCCACACACAATCTCCTATACACACTCTGGGTCCTTTACACACAAGATCCCCTACACACACTGCACCACCTACACACACTACAATCCTGACATACAAACTCTGGATCCCCTATGCACACACTACATTCCTTGAAAGCAAACACATACTACATTCTCTAAACACACACTCTCTATAACCCCTACACACACTACAGCCCTTTATGCACACATTCACTACATCCCCTATACACACTATGCCCCCTATAAACACTAGTTAAAGCCCCTAGCCACACATTACACCACAAACGCGAATTAAATTGACCTATTTAAACAATACCACACCACAATCAGCTTACTCAACACACACGCAATCCCACAAGCAGGCTCCAAACACATGCACCATACGCTTTTCTGGCCCTTTTGTCCTCTGGTATCCCACTTATGGAGACACCAGAGACAAGTTAAAAGCAAACACAGCGCAAGCATGTTATTAAATTTGCTTGCGCTGCGCAGAACAAATACAGGGCCTTTTTCTCATGCTATAGCTCTTCAGCAGGGCTTTGCGCATTAAATTAACATGCTCACTTTGAGAGGGGGCGTGCTTGTCATTAGTGATGATAAAACACACCCTCTGGCCACGCCCCTTTCTCAGGGGGCCGCTGTGATTGAAAAATGCCCAGGCCGAATTTTTTTCCCAGTCCGGCCCTGTCCGAAGCTATCCTTGATGAGATTGCAGCCAAAGAACTACCAGGGAGATTAAATGAATGCATCACTTACGTGATGCATATAGGTTATCAACTTAACAACAGAGATAACTAGAAATAGAACCAGACGTATGAATATGTCACTGTTGTTTCTGGCCCCCCCTGTGCAGTCTGAAACTGAACCTATGCAGTTAGGGGTTATGAGACTGCCAGAGGCAGAAAAACTGTTTTGCTTTTACTTTGGCAAGAAAGGACGTATGAGAAATGCTTGTCCCATACGTCCAGCAAACTTCTGCACCTAAGAACCATAAGGGGACAGGTCTTAGATGTAATGTATATGTCCCTTGGTACTACCCAAAGTAGATTTCTCCTTGATAGTACTGCTCTATGCACTAAGAGGTTTTCATGTAAAGCCCTGATCGCTGCAGGAAACTTTATCGACATGCAATTTGTCAGGAAGTACCTTCTACCCATCAACCTCTAATTACCCATAAAACTATGCCTATAACTATGACTATAGGAGCATTACATAAAGAAAGCATTACATTTCAGATAATTGCTTACCCTTCTTGTCCCATTATACTAGGATTCCCATGGCTTGTTAAGCACAATCCTCATATTGACTGGGCTGAGGGGGAAATACTGGAATGGGGTAAAGAATGTAGTGAGAGATGTCTGTTATCCATTACTAAAACAGTGGGCATCATTACTCTACCTACTCCTATGCCTCAGCCTACTGAAATTCCTTTGCAGTACTGGGAGGTTAAAGTGTTTAGTAAAAGTTACACGCTACCTCCTCACAGATCTTATGATATATTTGTTACCCGGCACTATGCCCCTGTCACGCCACCCGCTCCTGTCAGAGGGCAGCATGAGTCCCGGCGGGCGCGTATCGCTACGGCGGTATTCTGCTTATCTGCGTGTGTCAGTGTATGCACCTGTGTGTCTGTGTAACTGTTACCCCGCCACACACTGTCACCCCCTTTCACCAAGCCACACTCACCCTATCACATTAACACCTTCATTCTGTCATACTCATCCCCCACAACCATGCCACGCTCACCCTGTGGGGCGTGAATGAGACACATGAAAGGTCTGGGGGGCGTAAATGTGACAAATGCAGGGGTTGGGGAGATGAGATGTATGGGGGGGCCCAGGGCAATTTTCGCACCGGGGCCCCGTGGTTTCTAGTTACGCCCCTGGTATGAGGGGGTTCCAGATCACTTGAAAAACATAATAAATTCAAAATAATTATCCAAAATATACTATGCTTGCACCATTCCTCAGGATTAACCCCTTCCCGACCGAGGACGGTTCAGGACCGTCATCGGCATTTTTGGCATGCCGACCGATGACGGTCCTGAACCGTCCTAACGGTCTGAGCTACTTACCTGATCGCCGTCGTTCCCCCGGCGGCGATCAGCGTGGCTCCGGTTGTGGGGAGACTGCCTGCAGCCCAGACAGTCTCCCCACACTGATTTAGGACCCCTGTGGCCATGTGATCGCTTAACACAGCGATCACATGGTCACAATAGGTGTCCATAGTGCTGCCTGCAGGGGGACTGCCTGTGCTGACAGGCAGTCTCCCTGCTAGTGTAAAATCAAAAAAAAAATAAAGTTAATGTTAATAAAAAAAAAAAAATAATTATATAGGTGTATATATGATATATAGACATATATTATATCTATATAATATATGTCTATATATCATATATATATAATGCCATACTAAGTGTATTTTTATATTAATATGTACTTATATTAATATAAAAATACACTTATAATTAAATTACACACGTATATATATAATATATATAATAACTATATATATTGTATATATATATTATTATAAAATATAAATAATAAGTAATTTAAATTAAATAATTTTTTTTAAATAATAATAAAAATTTTAAAAAAATTATATATCTATATGAAATTTTATTCTAACTGTATTTTAAAATTAATATATATATATTTATATCAAAATACACTTAGAATGAATTTGTATATATATCTATGTATATATAAATAAATAAAAATAATAGAAATATACATATGTCCATATACAAAATTACATAAATAATTATATAAATATACACGTAGACTTCAAATATATAAATATGCATATATATTTAAATTCTACGTGCGTATTTATGTAATATTTTTACATAATTCAGTAATTTTATTGATTGCAATTTGAGGGACCTGCCTGCCAACCCAGGCCAAAATTCCAGAGAATTTAATTTGCTAGCACTGTATTTTACCCTGTAACGTTCTACGACACCCTAAAACCTGTACATGGGGGGTACTGTTTTACTCGGGAGACTTCGCTGAACACAAATATTAGTGATTCAAAACAGTAAAACATATCACAGCGATGATATTGTCAGTGAAAGTTACTTTTTTTGCATTTTTCA